GCTTCTGAGGAAGAAACTCTGCAACACATCACCGTGCCCCAGACACCTCCTTTCTGGTTTGGTTTTGCTTTTCTCTGTGTTGACAGAAGTGCTCAGACATACCCGTTCTTAGAAAGGAATTCTTGCAAGAAACCAAAACCTTGCCTCGTGCCTGGCACCTGCCAGGTCTCAGCTTGTACTGCATCTGTCTTCGTTGCCACTGTCCTGGCCGGGCGTCTGGATCGCTGCTCGGGGCCCACGCGTGCCTCCAGCTCCCGAAACCTGGCTGTGCTCCCCACCATCCCACTGAGAATTGTTCTCCAGAAGGTCACTAGGCTGGGAACTGGGTTTGTCAATGCAGTGACCTTTTCCCTGCTTTAGCTTCTAAGTTAGTCCCGTCTGACCTTGTTTGTTCTGTGTGCATGAGGCTCCCACACGCTTCTTTCCCCTCCTGTCATGCAGCCCCAACCTTTCCCCTCCTGTCATGCAGCCCCAACCTTTCCCCTCCTTTGGTAGCTTTTCCTCTTTCTTTCCCATCCTGTCACTTTAATAGTGGTAACTCCTGGGCGTCAGTGCCAGCTCCACCCTCGCAGATTCCGGGCTCGCCTTCTCCCTGCTCTCCCAGCTGCTCACGGCACACCTTGCCACAGTCACACCTTGCCCAGCCCACCTCTTACCGGCCCTTTGCCCGGCTTCCCAGGCGTCAACATCCGCGCGCACTCACAGTGCTCTTTGGGATTTAATTCACATTGGTTCTCATGGTTACTCGTGTTTGGAGGTAAAGGACCTGCCCCTCCAGGTTCTCTAGCTCACCTCACCATTACCCAGGGCGCCGACACCGGCCATCCTCACAGCCCCTTGTGCTCCTCGCCGCTCCCCAGACTCCTCCCCCTCTAGAAACAACTTGCCAGGGTGTGTTGTTAACTTGGCTTTATCTCATCCCTTGTTAGGCATCTTTGTATTTTACATATGAGTGATGCCATTTGGTATTTGTCTTCCTCCTCCTGACTTACTTACCTTTAGCAGATGGGGAAGTGAAGTATATACAGGATGGAATACTACTCAGCTATCAAAAAAGATAAGCTCTTGTCATTTGGGGGAATGTGGATGGAGCTGGCGGGGATTATACTCAGTGCTCTGACTTTTGATTCTTCTGCTCCCAATTCAGATACTGGCAAACCCTGAATATTCCAGAATCTTATTTTACATCTGTTTCTTCCTTTCCATGACCACAGTGATTTTGGTTTTAGGTTCTTGTCTTTCTAATTGGCTTCGCTGTTTCCGTACCTCGTTTCACCTGAGTTTGCCCCACAAACTTTACAGGGGAAGGTAGAGCTCTAATACTTGCATTTTCCTGCTCAAAACCTTTCCCCAGCTTCCTAGTAGCAGTTGAATTAAGCAAAGACCTACAATCTGGCATTCAAGGCCTTCACAATAAGGCAGGAGAAGTAAAATGGAAGGCTACCTTCAATGGTAGTTTAGGAAAGTTACACTGTCCCTACACTTTGGTACAAGGGTTCTAAGAAAAATCAGTTAAAAAAAAGATGAGGTGAACTATGGAGTTTGTATAGGCAGGAAGACCACTGAGCAGGTTTTCTGATCCCATGCAGACCGGGTGAAGGAGGAGTCAGAGTCCTTAGTGGCTTTTTGCAGGTCTTTTTATTGGGATTTACCCGGTACACAGCAGGTAAGGGTGCTGGGGGGCCGGGAGGCTGGCAGGCCTCCCAACCCCCAGCAAGTCTTCACTCTATCTGGGCTCTCCGGCCTTCTCTCAGCTTCTGCTTCTCTCTTGGCTTCTGCTGCTGCTGTGTTCCCGTGATGCCGCCCTCAAAAGCCCAGTCTTAGCGCAGGTGAATCTCATCTACCTAGGCCCACACCCTACTCCAGGTGCCGCCATCAGGCATGCATTCAGGACTGCAAGGATCCATCATCTATCCTGATGGCAGGAGGGCAGAAAAGCCTGATATTTTTCCTTACCCTACAGAGTTGTTTGCAGCCACTGCAGCACAAGTTTGATCCCTAGCCAGTCAGGAAACTACCCACATGGCGCAGCAGACCTCTCCCGGCTTGCTTGCTGCTCCCCTCAGCAGTGTGTTTCAGTAGATCTGCCTGTTCTGCTCCCCACTCTGTCTCTGTTGAATCCTTTCACACACACCCCCCCCCCCGCATCTCTGGCCTGTACCCCTGTTCTTGTATGCATAAATAAATAAATCTTTTAAAAAAACCAGGGGTCTCCCTGGTGGCCCAAGGGGTTAAGCACAGCCTGTAGGGCTATCTGCAGCCTCTGCAGCATGAATTCGATCCCTGCTATTTCACCCGCTGCTCCCCTTGGCAGTGTATTTCAGCCAGTTTGCCTGTTCTGTTCCCCACTCTGTCTCTGGTGAGTCTTCTCACTCCCCGCACCTCTGGCCTGTACCCCAGTTCTTGTAAAAAAATGGAACCTGTCATTGCCCCATCTTTCTTGGGGATAATTTCAATAGGTTTGGGAAGAAGCTCAGAGATGTGGATTTTGAAAAACTTCCCCAAGAATTCTCTCCTGTAGTCAAGATTGAGAACCACAGCGCTGTATCCAGGGTCCTTCCAGCTTTTACAGCCATTTGGGGATTTGCTCTTTCTTTCAACTGAAGGATGCTCTTCCTTAGGGCTGACCTCACACATTACACCTTGCATTATAATGACGGTTATTTGGCCTCGCCCCTCTTTCCTACTCTAGAGTTTCCCCAAACACATCTTGTTCTTGGTACATGGTACTTACTTAAATGTTGCTAAACTGAGTAAACCTTACCCCAACAGTAACCCCCACCCCCCCAAACTCAAAGGGCACATTCATGCCCAATTGTGGTTCTTGTTAACCTGTAGATGTTCCACAGCTGTGCTTCGGGAAGGGGTGCTGGATGTACTCAGAGGCCCTTTAAATATTTTCACAGTGAAATGTTGGTTTAGCCATTGCTCTTACGCAATAATGCGGTGTTTAATTTTATCTACAACGGTGTTCATTGTATGTTTGAGAATGTGTGTTACGTTTTGCAGTAAATGACTGTTTCGGTTTAAACTCAATAGATGAACAAGTCCCTGAACAGATAATGTTGCTCTGGGAAGATGAGGATGATTGAAAACTGCTGTATCACAGGAACGGCCGTGGGGATTAAATATAGCAACGATTATGAAATGTTGGTGGGGGGAAGTTATAAAAGGTATTATCCTTCCGGGATCATCCTGAAGCTGTACACACATTCTTTGCCATATTTATGCAGAGAGGCTGAGAATGCCACGAATAGTTTCACTAAATGAAGTCGCCATCCAAGCCTTGCAAAGCCAATTAAGCGGAATGACGCACACCTCCCGTGAGGGGAGCTGTCTTTCGACGGTGTCGTGGTTCTGCTTCCACAGACAACTTCTGGACACCTTCAACTTCCAAACACTTGCTGCTTTAAGGTCTTTCAAATTCTTGAAATGTGAAGTACGAGAAACTCAAAGCAAAGTTCCACTGGGCAACACAAGAGCTCTCCAACTGGAAAAATCGGACATCCATGGGGTTTTAGCAAACGGTCAAACGACTTACTTGGAGGACGGGCTGTATTTATGGTAAAAAGAAACAGAAATACTCGACATGTACCCCCAGCACCTACCACACTCTGTCTAGAGTTTGGGCTCTGGGGGGTCTCACGGATGAACATTTCCCCCGGCAGTGATTCATCCCACGACTCGAGTTTACAATTCCCGGGGAAGGCGGCCTGAGAAAGCGGGGTTCGCTCAAAGTCGGGGCCGGGCAGCGGCAGCGGCGGGCGGCCCGGGGCTGGCACGCGTCCCCGCGCGGCAGGACCGTCCCTCGCGCGCACGGACAGCGCCGCGGCGGCGGGCGCGAAGATCACGGTGAGGGAGTCTGGAAATGCGAACTACCGCGACCTGAGCGTTCACCTTCCCCGGCGCCTCACGGAGCTTGAAACGGTGAGAAGAAGTGTTCCTCGGCGGATCCCCCGCCGGCCTGAAGCCCGGGGCTGGCCGAGAAGCCTGGTGGCCCTGGGGCAGGGAGGCGGCCCGGAGCGCGGAGGGGACGCCCTCGGGGGGCCGCGTCGGGACCCCTGCCGCACCCCCTCAGCCCCCCGCGCCCTCCCCCAGGCCCCCCCTGCCCTCCCCCAGGCCCCCCGCCCTCCCTCAGGCACCCCCCGCCCTCCCTCAGGCACCCCTCAGCCCCCCCGCCCTCCCCCCAGGCCCCCCCGCCCTCCCTCAGGCACCCCCCGCCCTCCCCCAGGCCCCCCGTCCTCCCCCAGGCCCCCCGCCCTCCCTCAGGCACCCCCCGCCCTCCCTCAGGCACCCCCCGCCCTCCCCTCAGCACCCCCCGCCCGCCCTCACCCCCCGTCCCCCCCACCCCGCCCCTCCTCACCCCTCGCCCCCCCTTACCACCCCCCACCCCCCCGCCTCATCCCCTTCACCCCCCAACCCCCTCCCGGCCCGCGTCTCCCGCACGGCTGGGAAGGCAGTCGGCCCGGTCCGGGGGGGCGGGGCCAGCGCCCGGGGGCGGGGCCAGCCCTCAGGGGGCGGGGCGGAGGCGCGCGCCGCCGCCTCACAATCAGGGCCGGGCGCCGGCGTGACGTCACCTTTCCGCGGCCCGCCTCCTGCGCCCGGAAAGAGGCGGTCGTCCATTGGCTGCGCCGCCCGCGGCCGCGGGGCCAATGACCGGGCGACGAGCAGCGGGGTCCGGCCTTGACGTTGTGCTGCTCGCCGCGGGGTTTATTTGGCTCCGGGGCCCCTCGCCGCCGCCATTAGGAACCCGCAGCGCCCGAAGCCGTCCCCCTCGCTCGCCGGCCCCTCCCCGCGGAGCGCCCCCGCCTCCGCGCCCGCTCCCCGCCCCTGCGCCCCCGCCCGCCGGGAGCCGCGCGCGGGCCCGCGGAGACCATGTCCTGACCGCCGGGCGGGCGGAGGCGGCAGCAGCGGGCGGGCGGCGGCGCGGAGGGAGGCCGAGGGGGCCGGGCTCGGCTCGGCGCCGCGGGCTGCTCGGGGAGTCGTCGCCGCCGCCGCCGGGCGTCGCGCGGGGAGGAGGAGCCGGAGCTGGAGGAGGAGCCGCCGCCGCCGCCGCCAGGTAACCGGGCCCCGGGAGGGCGCCCCGCCGCAGGCCCCCCGCGGTCCCGCCGCGGCCGGCCCGGGCCTCGTCCCCGGCGGCGCCGGCCCCCCTGCCCCCCCCGGGCGGCCGCGTCGCCCCGGGCGGAGAGAGGTGCGCGGGGAGGGGGCCCGGCCCGCCGCCCGTGCGCTTCCATCTTGGGCGCCCCGCGGGGCCGGCCGGGGTGTGGAGGGTGGGTCCGGCCGGCCTGTTTACCTGCCGTCGGCGGCCGGGGCCGCCGCCTGTCACCGCCCTCCGCCGGCGCCCCCTCGCCGCCCCCCTCGCCGCGCTCCTGCCCCACGGGCGAGCGAGGGGCGCTCGCCCCCACCCTGCAACGGGCCCCGCACACTCGGGCCCACCGCCGCAAGTTGGTGTCCAAACTTGTCTTTCGGTCCCCGGGCGCGTCCTCTCCGCCTCCCGCCCGGGCCTCTCGTCGTTGCTAGGAAAATGGGGTGGGGGAGGTGGGGGTGGCCGGGGGAGATGGGGGGTGGCCCGGGGAGAGAGGAGCCGGACCTAGTGGAGAGGTCGTCTCCTCCTCTCGCTCGCAACAACGGTTGTGAGTGCAAGAATCGGTTCTTTTCACCGCTGGGGCTTGGTTTGGGCCATTTCACAGACAAAAGAACTGTAAGGAATACTTGCGCGGAGCACAAGGGACCGGCAGGTTAGGTTCAGGCTGGGAGTGCGCTGGCGTTTTGAAACTCTTAGGAGAATTTGGAATTTCAATCGGTTTCCCCTGACTCCCTGGACTGGCAGGCTAAAGGCCCTTCTCTCTGTCCAGTGCTTTGGTCTGTTTGCTCACTGTCTGGTCTGTTATGTTGTCAGTAAATTTAATGTACCGAATACTTTCTTTAGGAATATAGCCGAAGACAGATCTTGAGCACCTGGAAACGTTATGTAGTGAGTGGTTCTTCTCTCTGTGCTCTCTTTTTCTACTTATTTACCACTTGTGTGACCTCAAAGGGACCCCTGTTTTGATGAAACAGGGTGACTCAGTGTGCAAACCATAAGGAATTTTGATCTTGCCCTGTGCCAAAGACCGTAGGAAAGTCATCCTAACTGAAAAATAAAGCTGGACCTTTTCTCCTGGCTATTGTTATTATTAATTACAGGAGGAGTTCAAAACACATTTAGAACTCTGCTCCCTTGACTTTTGAATTATGACTAGTATGCAGTCCCTTCCTTACACTAAGGTTCCATAACTTTTTTTATCGGGCTATAAGGGGGACCAAGAGCATGGTAATGACACATTTTACACTTTGGGGGAGGATATTATTTGAATGTCATGAGGAATTTTTATTTCTGTTGCAGTTCCAACACCTTTTATTAATGCTTCAGAGCACTGAGACACCCATTTATTTACTCTTTAAATGTGCCGAGGTTGGTATGATGAACTCATTTCTGGTAGCATATTTGAAGTTGTGGCCTTGATCCAGCTCTGTACACTTTAAGGGTTATGGCAGATCACATTTAAACATGGAGGATTAACATGGTTTTGGAACTCACACCCCAGTTGTACAATATTTTGGGTAAACATGGGAAATTAATACAGCGAGAGCTGTCCAATGTGCATTTGTGCTTATGTTACTCTTATAATTTAAAAGCTTTAAATAATCGGGAGTTACAAAAGTAGACCACTGTAGTTTTTTATGTAGTTTGGTTCAGCTTTATTTTTTGGGCATTGCTGCTCACCCCCGCTCTTCTCCAATAATCTGATTTTGTCCCTGGACTTTGATGTGGCCCTTTATTTAGAATATTTGTGCCTGCTTACGCTTTGGGTCAACAATATCTTGCACATTTTATGTTAACACTATCGTTTCTTCACAGCACAACATTTAAAAGGTCCAGAAAACTCCTTGTGACATGCAAAGCACAGTTTCAGCTCCTGTGTGCTGCTCAGCATTCTCTATTATCTGACTCTGATCCATTCATTCCTTTTCTTTTTTTTTTCTTTTAAAGATTTATTTGTACATATAAGAACTGGGATTGCGGGAACCAGAGTTGCGGGGGGCAGGGTGGGGGTGATGGGTACCTCAGTGGCTTCGGGGAGTTTCATAGGTGTATCTTAACCCCTTGCACCACCAGGGAGGCAGGCCCCTCTGATCCATTCATTCTTAACTCTTATTTTGTCCAATTGTGAATCCTTAGTTTCAGCCAAACAAACGTGTTTGTTGTTCCTTTGACGCCCTCCTCTTGGCCCTTCATGTCCCTTTTTCTCTTTGAACCCTCTTCTCTCCGATGCTCTTTTCTCTGGCCCGCTTGAGTCCTGTCTCCTGAGAAGGCCCTGACTGCTTCAACCCCAAGAGATTTATTTTTTCTTGTGTGGGACTCTTTTCTTCTTGACTTGGATTTCAGTTTATCTCTCTGTTTTTATTTTGCTTCTCAACCAGTTTTAGATCCCCGAGAGAGAAATGGTTATGAACCTTAAACCCTGTTATCTGTGGGGACTTTTTAATTCAACACTGAAAATATGGATATATAACCCTACAAAATATTTTGGTTACAAAGAAACTAGGATATGCAGTGTGCTTCTGAGTATTGGGGTTTCTGGGACTTCTGTGAGTTATGAGACAAAATATTTGAAATTATGGCTGTCTCTAAAAATGTTTTTGGTCATATTTATTATTAGCATGGTTCTCTTCCTGGAGAGCATGCTCAACATTTTCATAATGACCGTATATATCTTCATGTGAAAATGAGAACCACTGTTCTGTGGTTTCCTTCAGATGTGAGTCTGGGGCAGTTACTTTGGTTTGCGTTGGGCACCAGTGACACTAAGGGTGGCCAGCCACTCCGTGTTTGTAAGTAGGCGACACCTGGTGTCATGGGAAGGAGAAAATAGCAAGTATTCTCAGTTTGCGTCCTTAACCTCAGATGTTGGCAGTGTGTGTCATTGATCCTGAGGCAGATGAGACTCAGGAGAATGTGTGATCCACTGCGACCTGTCAACACTGTTGGAAGAAAACACAAACAAGCTGGCCCACAGTGTCTTTGTGCACCAGGGATAATACCTGTAATTATGTGGTACATAGGTGGATGCTGATGGAGCTGGGAAATGGATGTTTGTGTCTGTTGTGTGGGTGAGGTAGGTGGAGGCCTGGTATTTCATGGCTAGACAGTCTCAGTAAATTGTCTGGAGTTATTCGTTGCATCTGTATGGAAACTTATTCCTCCAGTTCATCAAAAATATTTTTTCCCATTGAACTTAACTGATTTTTTAAGAAAGTAGTTTACATAAAACCTTTTTATGTTTCAGAAACCATTTTAGCATAAGTGAGGCTGAAATTAGTTGGTAGTAAACTTCCCAGAAACACTAAGCATTTTTACTTAGGGTATTTGCATTTGTGAATGACGCTTATATAGAATTATGCCAGTAATTTCACCACTTGAGAAATCTGGTAAGCATTTTTCTTTTTCTAGGACTGGTATTTTGGTTAAGATGAACTTTTTGACAAGAGCCAGCAGTTAGAATTTCAAAATGGGGATTGGTAAGGTAAAGTGAATATAAAATTTATTTAAAATTTATTTATACAAGCACTGGGTACAGTCAGAAGCGCGGGAGGGTGAGAGGATTCACCAGAGCCAGAGCGGGGAGCAGAGCAGGCAGAAGGACCGAAGTACACTGCTGGGGGGAGCAGCGGGCGGCAGGAGAGGTCTGCGCGCCATGTGGGACCCTCCTCCTGTGGCCCGGGAGCAGCCGGGGATCGAACCGGTGCTGCAGAGGCCGCGGGCAGCTTCACATCCCAGCGCTCAACCGCTGCGCCACCAGGGAGGCCCGCCAGTAATTAATTCTTTTGTATAGCTGAGTAATATTGTGTGTATATACACACACCATATTTTATGTTTATCCATTTATTAATTAATGGACTATTAGGTTGTTACAACTTTTTGCTGTTGTGAAATATGCTGTTATGAACATTCCTGTCCAAGTATTTGTGTGGTCATAAGTTTTTGTTTCTTTTGGGTGTCTACCTAGGGGTGGCATTTCTGGTTCATATACCAGCTCTGATTAACTTTTGAAGAACTTCCAGACTTTTCCAAAGTGTTTGTGCCATTGCTGAAAATCTGTCAGTAGTGTATGATGGCTTCTTCTCTGTATCGTCATCAGCATTTGTTGTTGGTATCCTAGTGAGGTGTCATGACCTAATTTTTATTTGCATTTCATTGATGAGTAATAGTATTGAGCATCTTTTCAAGTGTTTATTGGCCACTTGTGAACCTACTTTAGAGAAATCTCTGTTCCAGTTCTTTGTCCATTTTCAATTGGATTATTTGTCTTTTTATCTTTGCGTTGTAAGAGTTCTTTAGGTATTCTGGATACAGGTCAAATACATCATTTATATATTTTTCTCCTGCCCTTTCTCTTTTTTTTAGATTTATTTATTTATACAAGAACCGGGGTACAGGCCAGATTCGCGGGGTGTGTGTGTGTGTGTGTGTGTGACAGGATTCACCAGAGACAGAGTGGGGAACAGAATAGGCAGATGGACAAAATACACTGCTGAGGGGAGCAGTGGATGAGACAGGAGAGGTCTGCCGTGCCATGTGGGACCCTCGCCGGCCGGCCGGGATCGAACTGGCACTGCAGAGGCTGCGGACAGCTTCACAGCGCAGCGCTCAATTGCCTGTGCCACCGGGGAGGCCCTGTCCTTTCTCTTTCCTGATTGTCTCTTTGAAGCACAAAACGTTTGAATTTGTAGCCCAGTTCACTGTTTTCCTTTGTCCCTTTGCTTATTTTTTTAAGAAAGATTTATTTATTTATGCATACAAGAGTTGGGGTACAGGCCAGAGATGTGGGGGTGAGAGGATTCACCAGAGACCGAGTGGGGAGCAGAACAGGCAGACTGACTGAAAAGCACTGCTGCGGGGAGCAGTGGGCGAGACAGGAGAGGTCTGCTGTGCCATGTGGGTAGCTCCCTGGCTGGCCGGGGATCGAACTTGTACTGCAGAGGCTGTGGTTTGCTTCATAGTACGGTGCTTAACCC